ATAAGTATGTTCAAAGGCTACTATGATAATTTTATATCACTACAATAAATCGCATAGAAAAGAGCTTAATAGAGGCAGTATAGCCAATGGATAAAACGTGAGTTTCTTTATCGATGGTCGATAATAATATGTGAATATTTACACTGAGTAACCTTGTTATCCCATTCCAGTAGAAATGATTTTCTTTTTTAATTCAACCTATATGAATAGCTATTTTGGAAACTAATTGTCAAATTTCATCATTGATTTTGTTTTAAGTATCAACTAAGATTACTTGAAAAGAAAAATGTTTTGTCCTTATATTTAAAGAAACTATGATTGATTCTGTTTATTTTTCCAGGTTCAAATTGTAATCATTTTGAGAGAAAATAAAAATTGAGCTATCGATATGATATATGTTCAATAATTCTAAACTTAGTATCTCGTTCGTAGTCATTTCCTGTTAACAAGTACTCTCAAAAATAGATAGATAAGTCAGTTTGCTATCATATCTGAACATTATTGATAGATCTATTATTAACGCTCATCATCGTCATTTATGATCGAACTGAATCGGGTATGTAATATTTTGTTGACAATAGCAAACAATAAAAGTCAGTACTGCTATTTGTTATTTCTTCTTCTCCGAAAAAGAACAAAGATAAATGTTTTTTCTTTGTTAAGTATTTAATTTGAGAAGATGTTGTTTTTCTTGAGAGAACAAAACGAAAAAAGAAAAATAACGTTGAAAAATATTAATTAACTTCATTTATATGTAAGTATATTTTGTAATCGACACGTTTTTGTAATTACTATTCAAATATAACTGACAATAAATGTAAGTGTCAAAGACAGAAACTAATATTATTTTTATATAAGAAAAGGCACTCCTTTTAATTCATTAGCATCGAAAAATTATATATATATGATAATTTGATTCAATCAATATAAGTATTGTAGTAATTAAATTGACTTCTGCTTAATGATTAAGTAATACAATCATCTAATATTATGATACGAAAAAGTCAAGTGTTGTCACTATATTATTCCAGATAAAGAAACTAAATTAATATATGCTATACATTATAAATGAGAAAAGATAAAATATTGTTAATGTAAAAGGAGTCTTTTTTTTCCATTCGATTCTTCTTTTCTTCAAAAGTAAGCATTTCTATTATCACTAAAAGCTTTCGTTAAAATAATCGTATGTTGTTATAAAATATTTTGTTCTTAAATTCAATTTTTCTGGGTTTAGGCTATAAATAAGAATTAATGATGTGGTAGAAAATTATATTTTTATCCTTAAACTTATTTGGAACAAACATCTTTTTTTTAATTTCTTCATTATATTTTTTGACAAATGCTTTTTTTTCAAATTTGCGAGGCGCAACGTAGCTTAAAAGAAGAGTTTACCATTGGTAGACGACTTGAATGTGTACTTAAAAAAGCGCGTAATTTAAAAGTAATCTCGATTTTCTTCGCATAACTACTCCTACTAGACGAAGATATTTATATTTAGTAAATTCAGTAAGTAAAATAAATAGAAAGAATAAACAATAATTTCATATGCACAGTGTATTGTGATATATAACATGCATGAACGTCTGTAGTGTCAGCTTCAGTTTGACAGCTGGTGTGGCTTGCCATGAAAAGTGTGTTAATTTGAATATTTTCATAGAGTATTAGAGCAGAGTATTAGAGTAGAGCATTAAGATGTCTGTCATAGTAAGTATTGTATTAGTTGATTACCCTCTTGAACTTTGACCATAATGGAAAAAAAACATGGGTCGTATGACCTATTAGCGTGAATAAGGTACTCTAAACTTTTTTCTTCCGATTTAATAATCGAAATTAACAAAAAAGATTTGATTTTCGTTGAAAACCATAATTCTTTTCTATTGTCGAATATTTTCATTTTCCAGTCCAACGAACAACAATTATCAGAAGAGAGAAAGGGCATTTTGCCTTTTTTATACAAGCTAATAATAAGAACTCATCTGTAAAAGAAAATAGGAAATAAAATATGCAAAAGAAAATGAAAAGAAATATAGTTCTAACATGTAAAAATGTAGTAAGGAGATATTTTTCATACGTTTACATGTCTTTTTGATAGAGCATTTATAAAGATGAAACTAATTTATCTGATGCATCTTATTTTGATATCTGGTTTTACAAAAACATGTATTGTCTTATTAAAGTAAAGTACCAGACTAAATGAATGATGTGACATAAATGCCCGAGGTAATCAACATTGATAAGTGGAATTAGCAAATCAATATTGACATTCAATCTTTAATTGGATCATCTTTCGTCTATCAGAATCATTGGCTACTCCCTCATGTTTCATTTTAAATGTTCATTGTTAGTAAAGGAAATCTTCAATATGATCTCGATGCATCGTATATGTAAGTTCGGGGAAGAAAGAATTTGCTTTTTTAAGCATATGACGTCTACAACAAATAATAAACGTCTCACCTGAAGCATAAATAAACCAACTTTGATATACATTCTTTTTTTTTTATATACATTAGGGAAAGTAAAAAAGTAAAATACATTCTATAAATAAATTTTATTCAAAAAATTCTTGATAGTTTCATTTTAGATATGGCATTGTTTTTATTAACCGGTAGTAGTTCATCATTTTACAAACGCTTCTATACAGTAGCGTTAATCTCTTTTATTCTTGTCTGCTTATGTTCTTATTGCTCGTCATCACCATTTGCTTCATCTTATATCGATGCTGATCCATTATCTGATGACTTGGATGAATTTGACAACAATCAGGAAATGAAATATTTTAAACCACTACAATCATTATCAAATCGTTACGTGAATATTCCTGAGCAAGAATTATTAGGATCAAAAGCTCGTCTTTTTCGTATTCTACTTAAATCATTATTGCTTCAGCCTGATTATCGATACAGCCGATACAACGACAAACGTTATGCATCACAATCATTTCATGCGATGCGTGGTTGAAAAGAACGAAGTCTGTTTCTCTTATTCAATCTATATGACGTACAAGAAAGTTTTTTTGTCGTATTATAAAATCGAAAGTACAGAAAAAAAAAGTCAAACTATTTTATTTTTTCATTCATCTATTGAACACATTAAAGAATAAAAGTCGAAATAAATAAATACTAAACTATCATATTTCAATGTACTCCATCTGTTTAAGACTTAACCCATTTGTAGATGAATACAAGGAATAAGAATGAAGTAAAGATAAAGTATAATATTGATCAAAATTAAAGCAGAAATATATATTTATTTCATATAATGGCAGCTTTACAACAACGTTGGAAAAATTTAACTGTATCATTAGCTGATGCTATATTAACTATTTCTATGAATAGACCTAAAGTTAATGCAATGTCTATTGGATTACTCAATGATCTTGAACAAGCTTTTGATCATGCTTCAAAAAACGATCAGATAAAAGGTGTTCATCTACGTTCTAATTTTAGGTATTCATCTAGACGATAAATATTTCGTCATTAAAGTCAATTTTTTATTTAGTTCAACATTTTCTGCTGGTCTTGATCTTTCTGATATGCACGAACGATGTGCTCAACGTAATCGACCAGCAATTGATAAATTTGTCTTTGATACACTTACTCGTGGTATAACAGCACCTCTTCATTGTTCAAAACCAGTTGCTTGTTCACTTGATGGTCATGCTATTGCTGGTGGTATTATACTTGCTCTTGCATGTGATTATATTGCTATGGGTACACGAAAACCATTCCGTATTGGTGTTACAGAATTAGCTGTTGGTGTACCATTTCCTGTAGTACCACTTGAAATTATACGACATCAACTTGAACCACAACTTGCTCATCGATTAATATTTGATGCAAATCTCATATTATCAAATGATTTTTCAATACGATGTGAAAAAAGTGAAACACCAGATGATTTATCGCGAAAATGGTTAAAAATGATATCTGAAAGACCATTAAAAGGTTTTCAAATAACGAAAAAAAAATGGTGGTCAGATATGATTAATTTCATTTCTATTGATGATGAACAAGAAAAAAAAGAATATTTTGATACGCTAACTGGTGAAGATTGTTTACAAGCTATGCAACAGACACTAAAAAAATAGATTAATTTTTTTTCCTTATATCTTAAAGTATTTAGAAAAAAAAAAGAATTTCTTAGACAGAAATCTAATGATTTTATTTGTTGCTTAAAATTAATTCTAAATATAAATTTTTAAGTTAAAATACAATAAAATCGTACTGATATATGTTGATGTTGTGTTTATATAAGCACCATCTGTCAAAGAAAAATTTCGTTTGTTATTTGATAGAAGCAATCAAAACAACGACAAGACAAAATATCAACCACATCACTGGTGTTAGAAAATACTTCATGTATTAACAAATAAATATATTTAGAAAAGATTAATATTCTTTCTTCTCTTCATTTATAGATTCTCTCTACGTTCTAATTTTTGTTTTTGGTACATTCATCAGTCGATTAAACACATGTCACACTAACTATAACACTCTAAGAGAATCTAATATGAAAAATAAACATATTTATTGAGATGAGAACTCTATGAAGACTTTAAACTTAGAGCATTCCTTATTGATACTTCTGTAGTTGAGCAAATTTAGAAAACGAATATTAGAATTTTGCATGTAAAGAATTTAATTTTACAGGTGATGGAAAAAGTTTGATAACAGCGTTTTTTTTTATTTTTTTCTATAATGTTAAGCAATTAGCTCAAATCCAGATAGCGATTTTAATAGTCAATGGAGTTTTCCATATAATGCATTCTATAATAAGATTTCATAGATGAACTATGATGGTAAAGTTTTGAAAAAATCGGAACAAGTAGTTTTCAGATCCTAGACGATTACTTTTTAATGGAGCGTCATAGAAAATGTGATGATCTCTTGGTTTGTTCTCCTAAAAATGACATTTTTAAAAAGTAATCTTCTAGAACCTGATAAGTACCATGTTCGATTTTTTAGGAAACTTACCATCATAGTTCATCTACAAAATTTTGCTGTAGAATGCATTGGATAGAAAACATCAATGGCTATTAACAGCACTAACTGGATTTGAGCAAATTGCTTACCTTTATACAAAGAAAAATAAGAAAATACATTGTTGTAAAACTTTTGTCCACCACCTTATATTACAGAAGAACATAAAAGCAATGGTTTTTTCTTCTTCAGATTTTATAGGAGTGCTTGAAGTCTTTCAATTCTTTTTTTGCCAAAACATGTAAACCTTATTATCTTTATTCACAAATGTTTTTTATTACCATAAAACCGATTGTATCATCTTTCAAAATCATCGAATCCTACGAAGGAACACAGTTGAACCTATGAGGGAATCATTTCAACTGAGTAATTTCCTTCTAAACTAAAATTAATGGATTTCAGTTTGTTGGCCATACTGGTTCTAAATATGAACATAAGACATCTTCTTAAGTTTTAATATGCTAGTTTTGTAGAAAAACGATTATCCAGGCTAACGAACATTTCGAATTGCCTAGAAAATAGTTACATCTTTTGTTTTAAATCATTTTTTTGAAGAGAATACAGACATTTTAATTTATATAATACATATATATATCGATATTTCGATGTGAAATTTCACAAGATGATATTATTTTACTTACAGTTCATTTTTGGAAAATAGAAAAACATATTCTCTAATAGACAGTTCGATATGCTCTATAATCGGAGCAGATTCAAGACAATTTTGGTAAAATTTTGTTAGTCTGAAAAACTGATTGTCTAGAAAGTTAGCATATGAATATCTTAGGAGATTTCTCATGCTCATATTCAGAATAAGCATGATCGATAACCTAGAATTCAGTAGTTTTTGACAAGAAAGTGATTGATACGTAGAAACTGTTCCCTTATTGGAATAGAATCTATTGTAAAGTTTTAACATCTGTATAGCTTATAAAACATTTCTTCGTGTGTATCTCTTTTTTTGAATGACGTTTTATGCAACATTAATCATCATATGTTTAGCACGGATTACATGTTAATATACATTTATTGTTAAAATGGCATGTTTCTTAACCTATATTTTCCTATTAAATGACATTCATCATATGTCAGGTGGTCCGGAAAGCTCATGCAACTGATCTCATACTGCGTTCATCGATATTTTCATCTACACCATGATGCAGAGTCTGCACTTTTACTGAGATTATATGCGACCTGGTTCAATCACTTCGTTTTTGCTAGAAAAAGGAAATATCTTCACTGCTGTGTCTGAGAATGATTCAGACATCTTGAAAATCGTGCACTCATGAAGCTTTTTATTTGAAAAGAGCTGAATTGTATCGAAATCACTAAACAGTCTGGCATGCGCAGATCGATGGAGGAGACTCGCCATGGAGATTTGTCAGTTTCTCGCTGATCTCGCGACCATTTAACAACTTTTGAATAAAAAGCTTCGTGAATGCTCGGCTTTCGCATGTCTGAATCAAGATCAAACACGGTAGCGAAAATCTTCTCTTCTAGAGAAAATGAAGAGATGAAATCAGATCGGAGTGCTCTACATGATGACGCTGGTGAAAAGATTCACGAACGCAGTACGGGATCAGTTACATGAACATTCCTGGCAACCTGATATTTGTATGAATGTTACTAAATCTAAGAGATTGTTGAATGACATATATAGTAATGAAGTAATTTTTAGAATTCTATGTTGATAGATCGCATAATCATTTGATGATGATTGAATAGACATAGACTTCGAAGCATTATAAAATATATTCATACGAAAGATAGATTTGAACGGATTTTGTGTCCATAAAGGGTGTCTTTCTTGTAATCGTATTTGCCTATCAATCTATAACTTGTATTTCACGTTTCGCCAAAAAAACCGAAAATAAGGAAATATACGATGATTAGAATCCATCGGATATGTTACAGATCATAGACCGAAACGACTCAGAAAAATCAAGACTCGACTAGAAAATATACATCAGCCACTATTGATCATAATTTCGTTTCCATACTAGGCATCCACAATATTTTTTTTCGTTCTTAGCTATCTCCACAACTATAGTTGTCAGATTTCGAAAGCATATTCTCTTACAAGTCCCACAGGTTACTTAGGTTTCTCAAAAATCTAGTCGGCAAACATTTGCGGATCTGTAAATGATCCATTATTTGCTCGCTCCCTTTTATGTGCATCAATTATAGATTGTCTTGTGGAGTACCTTGAGTCTGAAGCTATCAGATATTGAAAGCGTTGGAGCACATCCCAATTATGAATCTGAAGGGAATAAAATATATAGGAAGAGGGCGGATGAAAATAATATAGAATAACCATTGAGAGAGTTTGCGATTTGATTCAAGCAACAACTTTCAGAATAGAAGCAGGCTAAAGCTCGATATGAAGCATCGAAAAAGTACAAAATACTATTCTTTCACTGTCGACTGTGCACGTCAATCGCAACATAATTTCAATCCCTTTGTGATATCTCTTGAGAAAAATATTATTTGAAGTGTCTGAACAGTGGAGTCCTGCATATTTGACTCGACTTTACTTGATTTCGGTCTATGTTTCAGACTAGTGTAGGTTCATTGTTGGAGATTTTTTGCTTACCGGAATCGTTCAGACAATGATATTCTGAGACTAAGAGCGAATTATAACTTGATTTTAATAAGATCATCGCAAAGATTGTCTGATGAATATGCAGAGTTTACTAATAGGTAATCGAAAACTAATTTGATAATACTTTCATTCATTTTTTAGCCTTGTCAAAGAGCCTACAGGTATTTGGAAACTTTGGATTAAAATGAAAATTTTCTATTCTTTTCAAGTATCGGTTCAAAATTTTCGTAGGACTTCTAGTTTAGGAATTATGAACCGACCTTTTAAAGGAACGAAAAGTAAGTTTGGACGAAGAAAATTGACGCTCTTTGCTGCTATAGTCTCTTTTACTGCATACGCTATAGTGCCAATTTTTTTGTATAGATTTAAAGACAAAAATATTCTTAACTAATTAATATAAAAATGAAGAATTTCAATACAATCATTCAGAAATACCTCAGCTCATTTGCAAGTCTGTTTTTCATAGAAATCAAGAAGATTGCCTAAATTGACAATATGTTCCTTACGAAATAGCTTAAAACTAACTAACAATAAATATACTATTTTATGAAGAAATGTTTTCTCTTTCATTCGCTGTATTTAAAAATAAATTATGCTTCTACTTTGGATAATTTTTAGTGCATTAAACTTCATCGAAATTTAATTTACAGACCTCAAAGAGGTCGGTTGATAACCCTTAAACTGAAGATCCTATAAAAATTTTGCATCCATATTGAGAAAGAACACAACATTCTGTTTCTAACCTAATGTTTTCAAATTTTTGCAGGCTCCTTAAAAAGGTGAAAAAATGAATGAGCATTTTGTATAATTATTTTTCGATCAACGATTAGTCACCGAATAGAAATAATCCACAAAAAGAAGTACTAAGCACCTTCAGAGCAACTATCAAGTTTGAAATCACAAAATTCTATTGACAATAATAAGAGTTTAGCTCGGATCTGCATCGAAAAATTTTTGATTCGACAAGCTCTCATGACGAAGCGCAATACACAGAAACCAGTTTATCAACTTTCAACTTAAAGTCTCAATTAAGATTTCAATATTAGCGAGTTTATTGAGATACAGTATCGGTGAGATGAATGAACATAATAAGTCAATATAACATTTGGAAAAAAGACTAGTTAACGAGTATATCTCAAACAGAAAGGTGATTACAAAGCATAAACAAAAATAATAGCATTCAGAAATTAAAAAAAGCAGCAGATTCTTTCACGATAGTACGCTCTTGAAGACGGCTGATATTTATTAAGATTCCTTTAAGTAATATATATATTATGTGGTAGTAGAATGAAGTTCAACAAAATCTTTAAACTATATATATTTGACTTTCATTAGAATGAACATTTCGTTGAGAAATACTTTATATTTCGATATCATTGCTGATCAAACTGTTTCAGATTCTAGTAATTAATTAATTAGTACTATCTTATTATTGGAAATCAAAAATGTCCGTTTTACAACAAACTTGGAAGACATTAAGTATTTCATTAACTGATACCATTCTTA